ACTGATCACCACTTTTATGTCTGTCTACAGTTTGTCCCAACTATAAGAAACATGACACTTGTCACTGACTGTGTCCATTAAACAATATAGTTTTTTCTCTATGATTAAACTGGGCATCAAATATTAACACAAAATTTGCATAAATCTGTAAATAGAAAACTGAAATCCCTCCCAACTAAATAATGTGAAATGTGCATTTCCTGCAGAAAAAAACTGTCCTAAGTTTGTTTAAAAATCTCCACCACCACCACCATGTTGAGGAAAAAAAAAATTGAGCACTCTTCGCTGCATAAAATTTACAATTCATCTTTTCCCTCATCAGCATCCATATCAAAATCGCTAAGATCAATATCCTCCTCTTCTGGTAACTATGAAGACAAATCAATAAAAATATTTTAATATTTACATTTAAACTTACAATTAAACAATGTGAGCATGCATGGCAGTATTGTATACTTTAGTACAGACAAATCATAATAATTTCACTAAAACTCTGGCAATAGTAAGTCCAATCCTGTAAATGACCCATCACTTTAAAGCTTACAATGTGGAGAATATGAATTATATTAAAATCCAATTTTCATTTTTTTTTGGCCGCTGATGCTGGTATTGGGATGGCCAGCCACATATTATTAATGCACAATATTAAAATGTATAACATACATTTTGCTTAACGTTGGTTTTTTTTATTCCTAAAATAAAAATAATTCAACTGTCAACTTTTTATATATTTGTAACTTCCTACTGATTTATCTGTCACTGATTGATTGATCAATCAGGCACATAAATCAATCAATCAATCCATTAATAATGCTCATACTCCATTATATGACTTACTTCGCCATCTTTGCCATCCCATGGTTCCCGAGTGACAATATTTGGAAGTTTGCCTCCTTGTAGATTATCTGTGGATCCCCTACCCATTGAAATCGACCTGCAAAATACCAACCACATAAAAGTTAGAAATACAAAAATTAGGATAAAAAAATATTAACAATTTAGCTACTGTTTATCTAATTAACTAACAATAATTCTATAATAATATAAAATTAGAAAAAACAAAGAAAAATATTAAGTGATACAAATGTTTTACCTTAAAAAGTCATATATTCCATCTTTATCAAAAGATCCTTTGAAAATAGAGAACTTCTGTTTGCGTACATTCAAAACAGCCATTGCTGGGTAGCCAAAGCCACCCACACCAAGGGCTTCTTCTAATGCAGTTTGCTGACCTGGGGCAGTCCAAACCCATCTGTAATAGAGATAACACATTATGTGAGATAGATGCTCAAGTGTAAAAGTAAATACTTCCAATAATATTGCAGGTGGCTTTAGAATGACAAATGAAATCAAAATCTGTATGGGTGGAAAAATGTGTGTGACCGGTGTACAGAGGGATTGCACATTAGCTCAGGAGAATTTTAGAAAAAGATTTTCATTT